AATATACATGTATTACCGTCTACACCAGAACCAAGAGATATAAGCTAAGCATCGGATAAAGGCTGATCAAAAGAAAGAAATACATCAGATGAAGACACCCACAAACACAAGCACAAAGGAAATAAAGAACTGAGCACAAGCAATCGAGATGAAGGGCAAAAGCTAACAAGATGTCAGATGAGGAGATCAAACGATCAAATGAAATCAAGCCCAGCACAAGAAGAAGAATAATGAAGCCTCAGATGATACAAGACCATGGACGATGGACAAAACTAAGTCAAAGCATCTTAGACGGAGTCAAGAGCTTGCACAGCTGACCAAACGGAGACTCAAATACACAGACGAAAACCAAGATGGATGGATTGCGTCTAAAGTCACAACGAGAAGAACTACCTAGTATCCACACTCTCAGAAGAACACATGAAGTCATCAAAATAAAGGAAGAGAGAAGAGAAAAATGGACTAGCACTTATCCATAAATCAAAATAAAAGCTGGATGTGTCAGAGCAAGTACACCTACCAGTCAGCAAAGCACAACGCCTCTATAGCTACAATATCAGGAAAGTACAGAGATATCTAAGTCATGATTAATGTCATACATAGAAGCAAACAAAAGGTACAAAAGACTTTGTGAAACGCAGATTCAGCAAGCAAACATTAAATGCAAGAATCCATGAAGCCTGTACAAACTAAAAAAGGAAATCAAATGATGGCTAGTCAAGCGTCAAAATTAGGTCCACTCACGGACGGAAGAACATTTAACAAACATCAGATGAGGTCTACTACAAGAAAGAGACATTGGAGTATTAGAAGAAAAGCCAAAACGAGACCAAACCTGGAACAAGAAAAGTTGTGTTGAACATCAGAAGAAGCCAGATGGCCAACTCTGTTAAAAGAACAGTTAAGGCAAGGCACATCATGAGAACCAGACAATTCAAGCCAATTGAATAGACAAAATAAACTATGTGAAAACGAAGAATATGGGTCAAATATCAGATGGATGTGTGTCAAGAACAACCTCTAGTGTAATGTGAAGAAATGGACCAAGCGTGAGACAAATATAAGAAGAAAGTCAACTATGCATCAGACGAAGGACAGCACAGACTGAAAGACACCCAGACAAAAACAATGTCTATCTATTCATATTGTTAACTAGATCAAGAAAAATCAAAGCATTAAACTCAGATGTAGACGAAGGTCAAGATTGAGATACACAGGACCAAGAGACGAAGACAAAGACTGCCACGCAAGCAATTAAAGAATCAAGTCTCAAGAAACATACCAAGACATCGTCTATGACCATACAAAAGCTCTCAACGTAAAATGTGTGATCTAAATGAAGAAACGAAGAAGAAGAGAAGCACACAAAAGCAAAAGCATGCATGTGTCAGAAAAAGTGCGTTACTTTTTCAGATAAGGACAACGGCTATATTGTTGCATGACCAGAAAAAGACAAACAATTCCTAGGTCTTAGATAAAGTCAAACATTGTTGCCAACAAGACAGAGAAGAATACACACAATGTCTAAAAACAGGAAGCAACATTTAATGCAAGATCTTGAGCATTAAATGAAGGATGAAACTGGTCATGAACGACTGCATCAGCTTTAACGGACATATGCAACAGGAAAATTTTACAGGCCTATAAGTATGCAATAACCTCAAATCGAAAAAGGTTGGCAAGAAGCAACAAAAGAATGACTATAACATTGCCCTGTGCTTTCAACATTAAGCACCAAAACTAATATCAAGCCCAAGAAAAAAATAGAGAAATCAGAGATCGATTCTTCATAGTCAAATCTACAATGTATCATTGTATTCATCACTATAGTCTAAGGTGTTCCAAGCATATCTTAGGAAGGAAACCTTAGTGAGTGTTGTAACCTTATGTATCCTCTTTGTAAAGAGTAACCCACACACTCAGAATCTCTGTAGGACTAAGGTAGTGAAACCTTAGAGAGTGTAGATCATATATGAAACCTCTCTATGAGAGTAACCCAAACACTCAAACCTGATTAAACGTCTATCATCTGTAAAACCTGAAGAGTCTAAGGAAAGAATACTTGTAAAGCCTGGAGAGGCTAGTCAAAGAATACTCACTGCTAGCCAGAAGTGGCTAATAAGAATATACTAGCGTCAACGAGTGAAGCCGACAGGCTAGGAGTGGTCGAGAATACTTGGGGAACCAGAAGTGGTTTAAGAATACTAGAGCTGGTGAGTGAAGCTAGCCAACCAAGAGTGGTTGAGAATACTCATGACTAGGAGTGGCCGTGACCTGGGTGGTCTAGAATACTCAAGAATTAGAGAGGTCGAGAATACTTGGACCAGGAGTGGTTCTAACCTGGGTGGTCCATAATACTCACTACGAGCCTGAAGAGGCTGATTAAATAATACTAGCACTGGTGAGTGAAGTTGGCGGGCCAGGAGTGGTCGATAATACTTGGACCAGGAGTGGTTCTGACTTGGGTGGTCCATAATATTCAATGCTAGCTTGAAGAGGCTGATAAGAAAATACTAGCGTTGATGAGTGAAGTCAACGGGTCAGAAGTAGTCAATAATACTTATGTACTTAATTACATATTTAGTGGAACCCTCCAGTTGAAGGAGACTGGACGTAGCTCAGTTGAGCGAACTAGTATAAAAATGATTGCATTGTTTTAATTATATTTCAGACGTAAACTCTTTTTAATTGACATATCATGTTGAAAACTTCGTCTACTATCTATTCTGCATTAAAACCATTTCTCAGACGTAAATGTTGTTTAACAAATATATTACACTAAAAAGCTTTATCTACTGCTTATCTTTAAAAAAACTATCTTGAAAAGGAAAATGCAAAAACTTTAATCATTATTGTTATATGAAACATTTTCCTTCAGCAGACGATAAATCCTTCAGACACAATGACCTTATATTAAGCAAATTTTACATAACCGTCTGGTATCTAAAAAGTGCATTGGACGAAGAACATTATTCTTGCGAAAATGGTTTAAAATTCCTTCCTACACACACACACATATTCAACCCCCCCCCCTTCTATGTGTTCCATGTCTAACTTCACAAACGACACCTATGTAACTTTTACTAAGTATTACACTATCCAATAACTTTATATTAAATGTGAATTTTATAAATCCAACCATTAGATTAAAAGTTATTTACTCTTAGATCATATATACAAAATTTTATATTAATCCAAGATAATTTGATACTTCATATATGAAGTTATAATTCAATGGTTAGATTTACAAAATTCACCTTTAATATAAAATTATTGAACGGTGTAATACTTAGTAAAAGTTATATCGATTTCGTTTGAACACTCCTCAATAATTTTATATTAAATGTAAATTTTGTAAATCCAACTGTTGAATTATAACTTTATATCATTTTATATGTTTATATCAAATTTTGTTATATATACTTATATATATAATTTACTCTACGAGTAAATTTATCTAGACTTACTTTGTCCAATAACTCATGTTTTATATCAAATTTCAATTATCCAACCGTTGAATTTAAAGTTATTGCTGCATAGATTAAATATGCAAATTTTAAAAAATTTGAAAATCATTTAATACTTCTCTTTATTAATTCAAATTAACGTATAAAATATTTTTTTATAATTATCTATCAACTTGAATTAATAAAACGAAATATCAAATAATTTTCGAATTTTTTAAAATTTTACAAACTTGATTTTTTAAATTCAACGGTTAAATCATTGAAATTTAATATAAAACATGATTTATTAAAAAAAGTAAGTTTAGATAAACTTACTCATAGAATCAACAGTTCCTTTCTTTTATATATATATATATATATGTGAGAGAGAGCGAGATTATTGAATAATTCAATTTGGATTGTTGCATTGTCCAATAAAATACTTTCTTAAGGCTGCTGCTCAGCTCATCATTGATTTAATTCGCACAGATCCAGCAGTAACTACTTTTCCATTAAATCCTAGGGAAATTTGGTAATGTCTCAGCCATCCCCACTTTGGATTGTAAAGAATCTTCAAGAACATCCTGCACAACATACATGGGATTGCAAGCTCTTTTAGGGTAGCAAAGTCTCTTCAAAATAATAGCGATTAAAATCAAATGTTGTCAATTTTCATGTTCAAACAAGAAGCAAAAGCGACCATGCAATGCAAATAAACCCAGAAACAAGAGAGAGGGGAGCTGTAGCTAACAAAATCCGGTACACACAATATTGATCCTCGTTGTCAAAAACAGACAGAACAATGGCCCAGTAAGCAGTTAGATTTTGCGTCTATCAAAGAACAAACACGTGAAGCCATGTTACTCTTGTCGTCCTAAATCCTACACAAAACAAAAAACGGCAGTCATTAAGGTCGCACAAACATCTTTTCAATAGGGGGCCTTCTTGTTGGATCAATCAACACCTCAAACTCTCTCATGGCCATCCAAACAATTGTGTCACCATCACTCATTTAAAAATCCTCAGTGTAAAGTTTCATTTAGGCTTTTTAAGCTCAAGTCAGATCAAGAAGGGTCAGATATAAGGTATTTTTTCCATGTTGAATGCACTTTACGTACGCAGTTCAATTGACCTTGTGGTGGTATGCCACAAACGAAAGAATGGGTTAATGACACTACGGTTCATGAAGTGTTCTGAACAAATGAACACAACATTCCCATCAAGCAAGAGATTTCAAGTGATCCTGGAACGAGAAAATTTTCGTTATATGTCATCAAATGTCAGTGACACACTGGCACTAGTTATAGCACAAAAAAAAAAAAAGAGTAATTAAAGCAAAACATATGACTCACACTGAGATGCTATACATTCAATAGAATGAGGAATTATAGGATGTTCTCAAAACAAGAAATCTCTTTATTCCATTGAATCTATATCATCTCAGTCTCCTTAGCCATTGATATCTTACTACATTTTAAAGGCTGTGGCTTAAGCTTAAGTGAACACATTTAATGGCAGCAAGATATCTCTTTTGTTATGGGAGAACCTAAGAAGTTCCCAGTATAGAACAAGAGAAATCTTTTGCTGGTCTCAAACATTTCATGGATGTACATGATGCGGGATTGATGACCTCTCTGGTTACCAACATGTACAGGGAAGAGACACATCTTGTTTTTCTCATAAAAGTGCACGCCAAGTTTACATTCTAAGGAAAATTGTTTTTCATGTTTAATTTTGAAAGAGGCATTAAAATGCCAATCAGAAAATAAGACAAAGGCATTAATGATGTTTCTGGAGCCCTCCATGGATGCTTCTTCAGGATTAGAACTTTATCAAGTAAAGCTTCACTTAGAAGCCTCTGGTGGTCAGCATGGAAGAGCTAAGCAAGCAATCTGTAGAGTGCAATGGCATTTACATGTTTGAAGCGCTCAAGGCCATCATTTTACATTGTTCATTCAATGCAAGAAGTTGAGCCTCTTTCTTGTCAAGCAAAGCACTCAACCGCACATTCTCTTCCATAAGTTTCTGAACTTCAGCCTCTTTCTGCATTTTCTCACCCTCCAGTTGCGTAGTCTTTCCCACTAACCTGCTCAAGAGAAAAAAACCAAGCCGTAAGACAAATAAATCTTTAGCTTAAAAAAAGAAAATAAACCTATTACGTGAGAACTGAAATTAAAATTAAACCCCGGTCACCTGAAAATGCGTGGATACTAATACCTGTGTTGCTCAAGCCGTATGTATAGGCATTAGGCACACACAACACATGGACCATCCCATCTAGGTTTCTAAATAGCGGTCCACAACATCTGTTGCAGCCGCAATATTGTTGTTGCAGTGCTCTTTGCAACCGCAACGACCCACAAATGTGATATGATTTTAAATCACTGAAAATTCCGCAACACAACCGTAATAAATCCGCAACATTATTTTATCCACTTTTTTTAGGTCAAAAAACACACAGATTCAAGTTTTAATTTTCTAATGATCTAATCTAATAAGTTTGGTCAAATGGGATGTTAAGAAAGGGAGATAAGCAATTAATGATGGTTGGTTGGAATACTGAGAGGTGTATGATGCATTTTAGGAAAAAGAGAAAGGGGTTTAGTGTAAAAATTAAGAAAAGGAAGTTTGATTGATTTTTATTATTATAGAATTATTTGTTTATATTTGATGTAAATATATAATAATTTCACGTCACAGCAATCTTCATCACAACAGCCGCAATGGGCGACCGCAATTGCAATTTTAAACCATGATCCCATTCTACCCAAGTTATACTAATGTATTATTAACATAATTTCGGACCTTAAACTTTTGCTTCAATTGGCCTTAGTAATAAAGTTATACCACTCTATTTTCAAAATATTATTTTGTCTTGTGTGGCTACAACTTACCTCCATTGGTACACACTACACACCCTGATAAGAACTGGATTAGTGTTACACAGATCTGGTTCACTCCCAAAGATTTCCCAAATCCAAAGACAACTCCTTTCCCTCTCAACAATCCCTTTTATTTATAGGCAACTCCGAACTAACTAACTTTGATTCTCTCAAACTCCACTCTCCTAACTACCAACTAACTAGTAACTAACCAATGGATATCTATCACACCCAAGAAAAAACCAACAAATACAAGGACATTTGAAGAATATAATTATCTAAATTCTAAAGAATGAGATAAGGTAGCTTGAACATGGAGAAACATTTCCAATAGCATCCATCAAACCAGCATCAATGGTGATTAAAAACAATTAAATTTTATGTAGTATCTGATGTCAATCGTACAAAACTTATCCAAATTAATCTGTATTCACCCAAAGAAAAAATTAGAAAACCATATTTTTGGAATGCCACTGTAGATATTGGTAGGAAAATTGCATACTAAAATTATATCCAAACAGACAAACACAAGAGAATAGGTGCATCAATGGACATGATAAACATGCCAACTTCCAATAAGGTGATATTTTAACATAAAAGACAAGTAACTCTATACTCATACAAATTAGTAATTTTAGTAGGAAACCTGGAAAAATTGAATGGGAGTTACTCAAATCGAAGGAAATAAAGGAAGACATCCTCTTAATTTATCGAATTCTTTTTTTTGGGGCAGGGGGTGGGGGGTAGCAGGGCAGCAAGGTTATAATTCATCAGAGGATGAGATGTTGTTCAAAACAATGTTATCAAATAACCATTATAACCCGTTATAACGGAATACCATAAAGGCCTCCAACCAAATCGCCATTCGCCATCTGATATTTGGCGATATTTGGCGTTTTATGTCGGCGTCCGCCATGGCACCCACCATGGCCATCGCACCATAAAGGTTTATAAAGGTCATGGCGGATATGGTGCTTTTTTATTTAAAAAAAAAAAAGAACCATTTTAGAGTTTTTGACCCGAGCTGAACCCATTTTGAAGAAAAATCCAAAACATTTTGTCACAAACGCAGAACGCTGTTGCTCCCAACCCTGAAAGTTGCTGCTGCCCTAGGGTTCTCTGAACCTTCGTTCAACTTCAGTGACCTGAACCGCAGCAGCCCCTCACTCTGGCAAACCTTGGAGTGAGGTTCAAAACAAGTTGTCTGTTAGTGTTTTTTTTTTTCTACTTCTTTATTCATCTTTTATTCTTCTATTCCTCTTCTTCATCTGATCTTCATCTCCTTCATGTTGGGTCTGGTTTGAGTTATTATTTTGTTCAAACATTGAAAATTATATTTTGTTCCTTATCTTTTATTCTGCTTTGCTTTTTTTTTTTTTTATATTTAACCTTTTAAGTTGATATTTTGTTGTCTTTAATTAATTTTTGCTATTTGTAATTTTTTTTGCAGTTTTTTTATATGTTTATTATTATTTGTTTTGTCCGCCATATGTTAATAATGGATTTTTGGCTCACTGCCATAGACCATTATCCATTATCGATAAACTTGGTTCAAAATAAAGCACTATGCTTATTGATTAACCAAATCATAATGAAAAGAACTAAAACTGAGAATGAAGTTAGCTCTCTTAAATGAGTTAAAAAAAAATTATTTTATTTAAGAATAACATGAGTTGTGCTCCTGATATTCAAGTCCAACATAAACATTGTCCTTATGATATGAATGAGGACCACCGCCCCGCCCCCCCAACACCCCTGTGAGGTTAAAAAGGGAAATGTTATTTGACACAAGTAACAATGGATCTAAGAAAAATCACTCAAGGTGCATGCCATCAAGAATACATATACTATAGAAAAATTAAATTTAAGCATAAAAATGAAGCAGGAAGTGTTCCATTGCATCTAAGTCAAACAATTTGATGCAGGTCAAACACTAGACAATTATCAAGACATTAACAGAAGCAATTGAGAATAGCATATATATATTTACCGTTCAAACAGCCTCTCAATAGTTTGGAATTGCTTCTCTGAAGAAAGTAAGGTTTCTCTCACTGTGATTAGACTACTAACATATGACTTCAGAGACTCAAATTCCTGTTTCACTCTAGACAGCTCTTCTTCATTTTCAGCTGCCCGCTGTCTCTGTCTAGTTGTTTCTTCCACCAAATCTGCAACTCTTTGCCGCATGTCATTCAAAATACCATTTGTACCCAAAGCAAAACGCTCCATCTCCTCTAATTTCATGGACATATTCTCTAACTGAGCAGACTTTCGCATAATTTCTTCCTGACCTAGACTCACTTTTTCCTTCTCAAATGTAGTTTCTGATTCTGCCAATAAAACCCTTTTGACAAGGGCTTCCATCACATCTGTGACCATCTGAACAGACTTGAGTATCTCACCTATATAAACTGCATCTTGTTCATCTAAAGAACCATGCTGACGGTTAATTCCTATCCAAGATTCTTCATCTGGACCATCAAATGAAGAAAGATCAACATTCCTAGACCAACCTGATAATGGAATCCCATCCTTGTCAACAAGCCCTACCCCGTCTAGTTTTTTTATGCCACAAGATGTATGGGCTAGATGAGGAACGGCCATGATTCTAGCTTTTGATTTTAAGTAGGTCAACAGGGTAGAAGTAGTCTTGACTCTTCGCCATAGAACCTCTAACTCCTTTCTTGCATCTTCCTCTGAGCCTTGTATGCAAGCCTTTACCTCCATTATCCTTGCTTGCAATACATCCACTTGAGATTGGCTTCTGTCCATCTCCTGCTTCCAAGTTTCATGTGATTGACTCAGCTTAGACTTCAAAGCTGACATATCTTCATCTGCCGCCATGTCCTGTCCAATGTTGAATAGAAATATGAAAAATAATAACAAAGTCAAATTTTAATAATGTAATCATAAAACATGTCCATTAAGATAAAGATATAAGCCTCAGATTTCAAAATATGAAAATTCCTAACAACTCATTGAAACTAGGAATATATAGTAAAAATCCAACAAAAGGTAAGCAACAAAATATAATGTGTCTGAAACTGGGTTTCAATTGTGAGAACCAATTCCACAACTGAAACTCTTAAATGATGTGCCAAGCAAGCTAGATAACAACTATTGAAGTAAAACTAAAACGAAAGCACACTTACTAAGAAAACTCATCTAAATTTTAATCTAATATGATTTACACATTTTCCCATTTCAAACTCTTATCATAAATACATCCAAGAAATTTTACAGATTCAAATATTATGACTTCAATAAACAATACTACCTCCATTCTTATATATAAGACTTAATTGCCTAATTCACCAAGATTAAGAAAAGTAGTTAATTTAGTTGATAACAATAAACTTATCCTTTTTATATATTTTTTCTAAAACTACCCTTATACTACATCTTTTTTCTAACATACTCATATATCTTCTAACCAATTAGAGTACATGTCCTATACTATTTCTCTCTCTTATTTAATACTCATCTTTCTCCTAACCAATTAGAGTGCATACTCTCTACAGAATTTATAATTAATGCATTTTACTTTACCAAACTAAGTTAACACACTTTAATTAGGGATATTTTAGTCTAACAATAATTAATATATGAGACAATATAAATTGGATCTTATATAAAAGAATAAGCAATTCTTCAAACTCAAAGTTGGGTCTTATAAATAGGTACGGAGGTAGTAATAAGTACATCACATATTTTCATGTTCTGCAACATTTTGAAGCCAACCAGAATCTATGAAGTTTATAACATCCACCAATACTAGCACCATAATTATCAATCGCAGATGGCAGCACATAGTGGCTAGCTCTGAAAACACTATAGCATGATAGCGGGAAGTGGGATATTTGAAATATTATAATATAAACTAAATAATTTATACTACACATATAAACACTAAAAAAAAAATATTAAAGAAATTCATGATAATTAAACACAATCACCAACCATCAATCTAGAAGCAATAAGAACATAGTAATAATGAAGTCAAGAAACGAAAGATGATGGTAAAATTAAAAGAAATAGATCATGAAAAATAGGCAAAAAAGAAATTAGCATAATGTGAACTAGAACTAGGATATCTAAAGGAAGAAGAAAAAATGGAAGATAGGAAAAAATTGTCCCATAAAGTATGAAGGAAACAAAGGTAACATTCTGTGGAATATTTTACCCATCAAAAAATCTAAACAATAACATTCCTGGGGTAAAGTTAAGGCTTTTGAAACCCATATCATGGTCATCCAACTATACTAATGTGCGAAAAGCTGCTATTGTGGAGACTATTGAAAACCATTCCGCTACTTGAATCCCATTGCATCTCAGGGCCACTCCACTCATCTATCCCGCTATAGTGCCACTATTTGCCCGCTATTGGCTACTATGACTAACAATAAAGAACTATTCCACCAATATTAGACAAATAGCACGGCATAGTTCATGTTACCTAGATTTCAAATCCCAAGCAAGTAAGGCTTCTAATAAAACCTTATCTACTCAGCAGTTGAAAACATCGTATGATAATTGACAATCCATACACATACACACGAGTCTAACTGAGTACAGTTTATATTTGAAACTAGATTCAATGCAGAAGAAAACTAAAAGCAAATGGGTAACCCCGACATAATGAGTCCGGAAATACATAACAAACGAGAAATACACAATTAAAATGAATTGGTTTACATGCTAATTGTTGTAAGCTATGGCCATCATGAACAAACAACCTTTTTTTTCTGCAACAGTTATTGTTTTCTCTTATTTTCCTAAACAATGAAAAAAAAAAAAAAAACCATGCTTAAAGCTATTGCACCTACCAATCCAAGATCAAAGCAACGCATCAAACGGTTATCTCGAGAAATGAACTTCTACATGAAAACAACACTAGAAAACACCATAGGCGGGAACAGTATCAACAGAGATTCCCCAATTATTATTTTCTAAATAGTTTAAAGTGATCTGGAAGAAGAAGGGGGGAATCGAAATTGAAGCGAAACCCAGAGTGGAATGGGAAAAGTTGAAAATGAAAACCCACCAAAACGAAGGAAAAGAATAAAAAAAAATGCAGACTTTAGGTAACGAACGAAAGGAAGAGACAAAGAAAGAGAATGAAAAGAGGAATCGAGTAAAAGAGAATGAAAGGAAGGAGAGAGAACCTGGATGAAAAGAAAAGCGAGTTGAAGGAAGAGGAAGAGTTGGATCAAACAAGGTGTTAGGGTGTGTGTGTGCCTATCTTTCTTTCTCTTTGTTGGTAAGAAAAAGAAAAGAAAGGCAACAACAACAAGAAGAAGAACCCATTTCTGAGATAAGCAGCAGGTGCTTTATTGATTGTCCCCACTTCCCCCTTTGCCTTTTCTTAATTTTTATTTTTTTATTTTCTCCTCTTTCCTTCTTCAAGTTAAATATTGATGCAGAAGTTTCTCATGCTATTAAGAAATTGTGAGTATTCTTTTTCCTTTTCAAACACCAAAAACAAAATACCGGAAAGAATTCAATTTAGGAAAAAAATTATTAGCATTAAACACAAAATTCTCTTTTTAAAGTATTTTAGAAAATTTTACATTTAAACAATTTAATTTTTAATATTGAGAATATTGAGAATAGATAACAATTTAATTTTTAATATAATATATTTTATATTTGCCAATTTTATTAATTATTGTTAGTACTACTAGAGACAGTGCTATTTAAATCGAGTAAGATCATTATAAATGGATGATAAAATTCTCTTTTAGAATATTTGACATCCAAACTCAAGAACAAGTCCAATAATAAAATCATGAATAGATGCTCTAGTAGGTAGATCTTCTAGTGGTTGATGATATGAAACTATTAAACTCAATACAATGCAACAGATTGATTAGTTAAATTTATATTCTATATAAAGTTATTTAATATGAAACTAAATTAATTTTAACATTTAGTATCAACATATCCTGCTTCACTTATACACACACATGTGAGTAGAGAAAGATATTACTCCTTCCGTTTTTTTTTTTGTTTGATGTTTAAGTTTATGCACAAGAATTAAGAAAAATGATTGATATTTTAATTTTTCAAAGTATTTATTACTTATTTTCTTGTTATACCCTTTAGGTGGTTGGAGAAGAAATAGGTACATTGAAAAATGAATGAACACATAGTTCAGTAAACACACATTAATTATCAAGAGTAAAAATGAAAAAGAAAATTAATAAGTCATTAGTTTTATAAAAGTGATAATGAAAAAAGAACAAAAAAAATAATGTCAAAACGATTATGAATAAAAAACGGAGTGAGAAAGTATTAAGTTTGAAATTAATATTTTTTATATTAAAAGTGTTAAATAATTATAACCTACTTTAATAAAAAAAAAAATTATTTTGTTTCATATACTAATATGTGTAGGAAACCATTTTAAAATAAATATTTAATAAAAAAATATTGATTATAAAAATTAGTTCATGAACTAACTTATTTATCCAAAGACTTATAAATGTAAACTCTTTTAGATATTGATCTATGCAAGTTGGTTTTCTTGATTCAAGACCCAAATGAATCAATACAATTTTCTTTTTGTGAATTGTAGGGCAGGAATACCTCAATAAGAATCAATTAAAAATTACGAGGGTAAAAAGTAGAAGTTACATTCATCTTAGCTAAAAGGGAAAAATACAGTAAAACTACATCAAATACTCTCAAATTCACAATAAGAGATAATCCAAAATTCGATAATTTATCTACAACTTGGTTAGCTTCATGATGAGCATGCATCCAAATTAACTCATCGACTACCCTATTGAAAGAAACTATACTCTAGACTAAACTATGTCTGTGTTTGATTTCACATTTGAAACGTGAAAAATCACGTTTAACGTGAAGCTACACATTGTAGCTTCCACGTTAAACGTGATTTTTCACGTTTTAAACGTGAAACCAAACACGCACTATAACTAGGATAAAGGCAGTACATTATCTATTGAGAAAAGCATTGCAATCAAGGAATCAAACTTCATAAGGAACTTCCTAAACCCTTTATTCCAAGCAATACCAATCCCTATAAAATGGCCCACAACTCCATATAAAAGGACAAAGTAGAATCCAAGTATCAAAGAAGAATTGAATCGCACTAGTATGGTCATGAAACACTCCATCAGCTGCAAATTCCTGACCATTGAAACAAACAACAACATCATAATATAATTTATACTATCCAAAAGGTGGATGAAGCCAACAAATTTGAGACTCAACCTATCTAGGAACTCTGACAATTACCAAATCAGACCCAGTCGCATCACCCTCAACCAAAAGACTAGCAAATTGCGTTAACTTTCATAAATAGCATCCACACGAGCTAAAATGCGAAAGTTAATATCACCATGTTGTAAAGCTACATCTCGAAACACAAATCATTTATGTAGGCCTATAAAACATCCAAGGTGACAACAAAAATGAGGAACCAAGAATCATCCTATAGATTCAAAAGGAGTCATTCATCCATCTTTTAATAATAAAAAAGGCTATCTTTTGAGCTTGGAAGTAGAATATACCAAACTACTCTAGCAATTGGACAATATCTTAAAATATGAGCAAGATTCCCATTATCACCACCATATCTTGAACACGAAGAATCATTAGTCATATGCCTTGTGCAATGAACCTCATTTGTTAATAAAGAATTACTAGCAATTTTCTAAAGAAAGGCACGAAAATGCTTAAGCCCTTGCAAACTACAAATAACCAAAAATAAAGGGTTTTTCTTCAAATCCATACCATACATAATGCTAACATAAGGAGTAGGAACAGAAAATTCACCATCCTTAGATCCCTTCCAAGATATACATCTAAACCTCTTATTACACTAGGTAGAATGATGGCTCTAATGTATGCCAAACTCAAAGCCAAAAGGTAGCCACTGAGCAAACCAAAATCTCAGTCCCTCGTTGCTTCTACAACTTTTTTAGACAAAATTTCAAGAGAAACATTCCCAAGAATTTTCTCATATAAAATACCTTGGTTACGGATCCAGTCATCATACCATAAATTAACTAAGTTTATGCACATCAAAAATAGGGAGAGTAGAATCCCCACAATGATACTTAACATACATATCCCACGCCCAAAGCACATCCGGTCTTTTACACAACTCCCAACAAAATTTCATTAAACACACATGGTTAGATTCCTTAGCAGAACTCAAATCGAAACCCCCAGTAGATTTTGGTTTTCAAATATTGTTCCAAGCAATCGAGTGGACCTTCCACTAGTGCTCTATATGCCCCCTATGAAAAATTCTAGACTTATCCATTTTAAAGAAAATAGACAAGGGGAGTTTGGTAGATTGCATAACATATGAGGGGATTGCTTGCAACACTAATTTAACTAAAGTGAGTTGTCTTGAAAGGAATCCTCAAATATTCTCTTGTGTAACATGTTAGGTCAAAAGACGATTTTAAACTCCCCAAGCTTTAAGTTTTAATGATAAAAAAAACATAGATATTTTTCTAAAAGAAAAGTTTTTAGATCAACTAATAAGACGAAATGGTATAAGATGATTTGTAAGGCAATTAGTTATCTTGACATTAAGTCTAACAGAAGAAGCACTTCATCTGTAAGACATTTATTTTAAATTCCTATCATTTATGATGTTTGATAATGAAATCAATATTTAGTCATATGATTCCTTAATAGATTGAACTAAAAAAACTTTTTTGGTACTCACAAATAACAAAAGTAACAAAAGACATATTTTGCATCAAAAAAATGATGGGAAAATCTCTTAAATCATGGAATTTCTAAAAAAAAAGCTACTTTGGCCTAACACACGCATGGCTTCACTTGTTCGATACCTAAAATGAGATAAGTAGCTTTCTTGATCATATAAGATGTGACAATTTGGTGAAACGCATTTAATGCGAGCAAGTAATGCACCTACGATCACTTATCCTCACAAGGAATGAAAATGAAGACAAACAAAACAAGTCTATGAGAGACACTCAAGGATTTGCAATGATCATCTTCATCAAAGCACGTATAAAGAAGCTTGAAGATTTAGAAAGAAAGAGAGAACACAATATAGAGAACATTTTGTAAAAATCTATTCTTTTTGTTAATAAGCCTTGTAGTTATTTGGTTGTATCACATCTTGTAAGATGAAACAACACAATTATCTTACCCTTTATAACTTAGTGTTATTGCTTTGAGCTTAGAGAAACTTGACTATAAAAGAATACTTAGTTAATTGAAGCCTAAAGAGGCTTTGTGTTCAAAGAATACTTGGTTGTTTTAAGCTTGGAAAGGTTTTGTTTTTAAAGAATACTTGGGTAGTTGCTTGAAAAGGCAAGTCAAAAAATAATTAGGTTGGGCCAAAAGTGATTTATGAAAGAATATTTGTATCTTTGTAAAAAGATAGTGAAACTTGATTGGGTTAATCAAGAACTAAACATAGTCTAGATAGTTAAAATGAATTAGTATAAAAATACCTTATGTTATTCTTTCTTATCTCTTTATTTACACCCCTAAAGTTAAGATATTACTTCATTGGTTGAAAAAGTGTATGTTTTTTATTGACATTATTCAACTCCCCTTATAATGTCTCTCTTTTCTCTACATAACACTGGAGCACCTGAAAATATTCCCAAATCCTCATTAAGTTGGAAGCCCAACTTCTTACTCATAGCTTGTCTAAGGTTCCATCCCACTTAATTAAAAAAGAAACCTAAATCTTATCATTATTCACCTTTTTCCTCAAACCCAAGCAAAATAATTCAAGCACTCGAAGAATGATACTCACCTATTCTTCACTCACTTCGGAAAAAAGGAGAATATCATCCACAAAGGCCAAATAAGACAACTTTGGGGATCTTTTGGAAATTTTAATAGACTTCTAATGCTTTGCATTCACTGCCATTTGAATAACATGGAACATTCTTTTAAGACAAAACACAAAAAGGTAGGGTGAGATCATATCACCTTGTTGAATACCCCTTGTAGCTTAAACTCATCCAATGCCTCTCCATTGCACATAACTTTCATCTAGGAAAAAGAAATACACCACCAAATAATCTTAGTAAAATTTGTGGGATATCCAATATCCAATAAAGTATCCAATTGA